AATGTTTTGGTTGTTACATGTCTATACGTTAGTATACGTCAGTGATAAATGTTTTGGTTGTTACATGTCTATACGTTAGTATACGTCAGTGATAAATGTTTTGGTTGTTACATGTCTATACGTTATCATACTTCAGTGACAAATGTTTTGGTTGCTACATGACTGTACGTTAGCATACGTCAGTGACAAATGTTTTGGTTGTTTTGATATTAGGCTCAAAGTTGCACTTTGCCCCTCTACCGCAGGGACCAGTCCCTGATTTGTAGCATTACAAACCCTCAATCTTACAGCCGAGTTACCGTAAGGGCTTGTGAATGAGGGAAAACATCACTACAGCAAACTAAATGTAAGTGGTCATCAGAGAACCATGGAGTTTTATTTAATAACAAAAAAAAATAATAATTCTTGACAGACGTTCAGCTAATTATCCAATCAAATGAACTTGAAATATCTTGTGACATATCTGTGCACAAACCATCAGGAAAATATGTAATTTGTGGTTTAATAACATGCTTTCAGACATAGACAAACTGTTTCATTTGGGCTTAGCCACAAGATGTAGCAGACAACATTTAAAAGTGCTACTGAGTATATGCTGATATGAATTGTTTTTGAATTTTGCGAACGTTCTGGGTGTTTCAATCTATTACATATATAAATAACTTTCAATCATTCCTGACAGATGTTAAAATGAAACGTGTTTCAGATTTTCGCGCATACCTACACGAGAGCAACCTGCCAATAATCGTTCCTAATTTTGAACTGATAAAAAGCAAATCATCAATAGTTTTTTTTTTTGTTACTCTTGTTTGGCTGAATAGTGAAATCTGACCGTCACTCTTATAACTCATCCACGGTTCTAAAGTGTGGGGGGCATTATCTTTTCCGACAACAGGACGTAAACTCAATAGTTTTTTTTTGGTTACTCTTGTTTTGCTGAATAGTGGAATCTGACCGTCATTCTTATAACTCATCCACGGTTCTAAAGTGTGGGGGGCATTTCCTTTTGCGACAACAGGACGTAAACTCAATAGTTTTTTTGGTTACTCTTGTTTGGCTGAATAGTGGAATCTGACCGTCATTCTTATAACTCATCCACGGTTCTAAAGTGTGGGGGGGCATTTCCTTTTGCGACAACAGGACGTAAACGCAATAGTTTTTTTGGATACTCTTGTTTGGCTGAATAGTAGAATCTAACCGTCACTCTTACAACTCATCCACGGTTCTAAAGTGTGGAGGGTATTTCCTTTTGCAACAACAGGACGTAAACCATGAATCCTTAGATTCATATTTAGGCACGCGCTAACCAACAGGCCACGCTAGACCATCTATTGAGAGATTTTTCTCTCTCTTTAAATAGCTACTAATCTTTTGACATACTGATCTTTAAATAGCTACTAATCTTTTGACATACTGATCTTTAAATAGCTACTAATCTTTTGACATAC